GAACATTTCCTGAAACATGCCTTTTACTTCTCCGAGTGTAGAGTCGCTTTGCTCATCGGCGTTTTCCTTTGCCCTTCGTTTATGCGGTGGCGTTTCTCCACTCATCGACGCGGGAACGGGCGTCGCCGGAGCTCGAAGAGGTGTCGACGCCCTAATGGGTGTTGGCGTGGTATGGGTCATCTCTGAGTGTTTTGGGTTCTTAAGCTTAGCGTTTTCTACTTTAAGCATTTTTACCTCTTCCCTTAGCGTCGCGTTTTCTCGCTTTATTTGCTCTAACAACTGTCTGATCTGTGTTATTTCCTGTTCTAAGGCGGACCCCGCGCGTGTAGGTGTAACAGCAGTGCCAGAGACCGCGTCTGCAAAGCTCACCTGTGCCTGAGTTTCTACCGCTCCTCGGCTGGATTGCAATCTTGACGTTGCCCTGGATCTCGATCGGGTTCTCGATCGGGTTCTCGAACGGGTTCTGGACCGGGTCCTCGACCTTGGTCTGCGACCGGGCTGCTTCCGACTGTCCCCCTCGTATGGTCCCGGGGGTGAGCCTTCTGTGCGATGGCCTTCTGATCCCTGGGTGTTCTCGCTCGTTGCTTTGCCAGCTAGTTTGTTGTAGTCGTTGATGCCGTATGGTGTTTCGGCCTCCGCTTCTTCTCTTCTTCGTCGCTCCCAGCGTCTTCGCCGGACCAAATACGGTATCTTGTACTTTGCCTTGCAGCGTCTGTCTCCCGTAAAGTGAGCTTGCCCGCATAGCTGACATCTTGCTTCACACTGGTGTTCTTGCGGCGGGTTGGCCACGCCGCATCCTCTGCATATTTTTTCGTCTGGGTTGGGGCAAACGTCCGCCCTCTGTCCCAGCCTCCCACATTCGTAGCAAATGTCAGTGTGTTTTCTGTATAGCGAGCACCGGACGATGAGCGCTCCGTATTTCACGTATCTCGGCACGTGTAGTCCGTCGAAGAGCACGATTACATTGTCTGTGTTGCCCATCCTCTTCGCGTGTAATATGCTTGGGTTCTTGCTGTCACTAGGTTGTCTATAATATCTTCGGAAGTTTCCTCTTGGGATATCCCTCTTATGAGTCCCTTAGATGTGTTTTCCGGCGCTGCTCTGTAGGCGCTGGCTTCGTGTTCTTGCTCTCCCACTCGGATCTTCGTGATGGCTCCGTACCGCCTGGCTCGCTCTTCGGACGGCGTGCTGACGACCACGATATTCTGCTTGTAGTTTATGCATATACTGTCTTCTTCTGCTGCTTCGCGACCGACGCCAGCGGCGTTTCTCAGGCAGCAGTATATGCGTGCCTGCCTGTGCTCCGAAACGCTGAGTCCTCCTCGTGGTCGCACGATCACTTTGTAGTCTTCTGCCAGTAGACGAGGAAGTCTGCTTGCATTAGCAATTTGTCGTATGGTTCGTTCACCTTTCCACTTGCTGTCCCCAGGCGCGCCCGTCGGCGCAGCAGCGTCTCTTATCATGGTTCTCTTCGGGCCTGAAATCCCTCCAGATGTTTTCGTGATGTTTCTTCTGCGGACTTCGCACCATCCGGCGTCGTTGGTAAAGTCCTCCGGTTGCATATCTTCTCCTTCCACGCTTACAACCTCCATCGTGGTGCTAGACGCGCCGTCGAGGCGTTCCGGGGTCGCCCCAGGCGTCCTCGTCGACGCGTTGGACCTAGCTCTCCCCGCCGCTGCGGCGGCAGACGCAATGTTTGATCTTCGTGGCGACTCAGAATTATCGGTGTCAGTGCCGAAAAAGCGGGCCCACCTTGCAATAGTTGGTATCCAGGTGTTCCGCTGAACTTCCTCCGTCGATTGGCGTAGAGACTTTAGCCACGTTTTGCAATTTTTTAACAAAAATCATTTGAAAACTGCGGAGCCTACACAACGTGCGTCCGCACTCTGCGACTCCTAGCATCCAACCCTCAGAATACGTAAAGCAAATATAATTTGGAGGTACCTATGCATGAAATGTCTTCGTGATGACATTTCTGGTCGATTCGTAAAGTTAACAACCAGCGGCCATGACAAAGCTCTCTTTAGGCCTGCATTTCATTAACAACACGAAAAAAAAGCCGCCGCGCACGCAGGAGATGACTGTTCATGGCAGAGGCTTCCGGGACACAAACGGCGTCTTCCGGTGGCTTCCACCACGTGCGCTCAATGCGCCATCCAGCTCCCCCCTGGTAGAGATCAGTTGGTACACAGGCTAGTCAAAGAGATGCTTCGAATCTAATAATCAGCACCGTGCTCGTTGAGATCCTCACAAACTGCTGACAGAGCTAATCACCGAGGCCGTGTCCTTCACGAGTTCAGTCGCTACGTTCTAGCGCGTCGCTTCACCGACGCGCGCCCTTTTCATCCTCTTCTTTATTGTCTGCTTGCACCCAGAGCACGTCGGCATGGTTGATTAGTTTATTGGCTGGGCGATATAACTAGCTTATTGAGGACATGCTATGGCCGTGCTAATTAAGCCAGGTCGTGCTAAGACCAAGGTACTTAAGCGACATTTTACTAAGGCTATGCTGATGAATCGATGTAAAGCTAAACTTCGTAAGGTTGTGCTACTTAGCACAACGCTTTTAGGAGCATGCAAGTTAGAACCAAGCTCATTAGTTTCTATGACCGTGTTAGTTAGAATTGTGCAAATTAAGATTATGCCGTTTACTATCTTTCAATCAAGACCTCGCTAATTATACCGCTTCATTCGCAGAGCGCACTCGGCGAATAAAAAAGACTTTCTTGCAAGAATAATTGTGGAAACCAATAAAGGTAAGTATGTACCCGCATGAAAGTCTGCATGAAAGTCTGAACAGTGAGGTTACGGTGGAAAGGTGTCCGTCCTTTCATGCCTGCAAGACATCACGTTGCACATGTCCTACCATCCACACCGTCCACCTCAATGCTGATACGCAAAGAACATTACAAACTCGTATATTGAAGTACCTATCATGCTTGTCATTTTACGTCTTTTGGAATTCATATCAAGTGTTATTTTATTTACGAAGTACCAGGTGCTCTACTGAGAGCTTGACACGTGAGCCCATAAAAGCGGCTCACTGTAACACGCCTACTTACTCTGACGAAGGCCATGCCATGGCTTAAACGTTAGCAAAAGCTTCTTCGTTTTCAAAGTGTGCTACCTTCAACTTCATTTAGCACACAAACACACACACATAATATATATATATATATATATATATATATATATATATATATATATATATATATATGACAAAACCAAGAATCCACCATTCTGTTGTGCAACAATAAAGAGAGAGAGAGAGAGAGAGAAATAGAGAGGAAAGGCAGGGAGGTTAACCAAGCTTGGCTCGGTTGGCTACCCTACACTTGGGGGGGGGGAAAGGAGAAAGGGGATTGATTTATATGTGGGGTCTAACGTCCCAAAACCACCATATGATTATGAGAGACGCCGTAGTGGAGGGCTCCGGAAATTTTGACCACCTGGGGTTCTTTAACGTGCACCCAAATCTGAGCACATGTGCAACAATAAAGAAATATCATAAGACTATGATCAGCCTTCCATAAATCACACACTAATCAAAAGCCGATACTAAGCTTACGCGAGAGTAACATACGTCCGAGAATGTCTTGGCTGTAGCAGCTATTTTCAAATGTTATCATTTAAAGGCCTAATTTCGCAGCTAAATATGTTTTCTTCTTTGAATTTATTCATTTGGCTCAACAAGCCAACTCCTGCTATTAAAAGTTAATTTCATTTCTTTCGTTGCTACAGTCCTTGATTTCACGAAACGAAAAAGCAACGTTCACTTTAAGAATAACACAAAAGATGACAAATGACGACAGGCGCTGCCTTCGTATGCGCCTGCCATTTGTCTTTTTTGTGTTTGTTTGAAATTAGGCGTTGCTTTTTCTTTTTTTTTGCACAATGAACGAACTTGCCCGTGCCTTAGTCCTAGCATGATTTCATAAAAAACTTCAGAACATCCCCCGCAACAAAGAATGTAATTATGAAGAAAAGTTTTAAATACGATATTTTTAATGCAGAAATTTTGGCCTGTCTGTGACATGATTCAGACACGCGGATAAACTTTAAGCACTCGCTTAACGCTTAGCCACTTTGAACTGGTGGCTCGTGAACATTGTCGATCAATAAGCAGATATCACGCACATCTGAGGCGCAAAATCAATAAGTAAGCATTTGGAAATGAGTTCTTTTACTAGAAAATACACAGATACGTAATTGTAAAGACCATAATGTATCTTACGCTGCGCTGAAATTGCGACGCTATGCACAAAAAGCACTCTGCCGACAAAGGATCCTTCATGTGCGTGCGCACGTGAAGGCTCCTACTGACGACATCATGCTGCCTTCTTGCAGTCACCTTGAGTTCTGCATGTCTCCCGATGACACTGCCAGATGACGTCTATATCTCACGCAGCAAGGCCTGTATTTCATCAATACCAGCCAGATGCGGCCGATCCAACATAGAGGAGGCAATGTCTGAGGCAAGGCAAAACATAAACGGGCACTTCCCCGGCTGAAGAACGATATTTGCAGTGAAGCACGAAGACACGCAGCCTAATTTCGTCATTGAGGACTTTCAGACACAGTTCTTGAAATCCCTTGTATGCGAGACTGAAGATGTATAGGTGTGGTTGTGTGCATGAATGCGTGTCTTTCCCTGTTTGTGTGTGTGCGTGCAAGTTCAAACCACAGCAGGGCGTCAAAATATACTTTGTTTCATACACACGTTACTTGTAGCGATCAGGGTTTCGTGGCAGAGTGGTGGACATAGTCTTTTCTTTGAGTACGCATGGGAATGCTTATGTGCACGAAATCGGAAATGCAGATCCTGGACAGATGTCATTGCAGCTGGCACTGTTGACAATGATATGATGCAGTGTGCATGTGGCACATTACTTCAAATGCTCATCTGAATAATAGCCATTCTGAAATGAATATCTATGTCGTTTTTGAATACTGCATATCTGCCACGACACATTGCCAGAGGAAAACAAACAAACAAAACATTGCATCTTTATATTGTTTTATATGTCAGTGTAGAAGCTCCAGTGGTTACATATTGCGCAATGATGTTGAGAGCATTAGTCCATCTTCAATCATCCCCGACGACTACCAAAATCGTATGGCATCTGCGAGCGTCTAGCCAAACATATTAAAACAATTCCGTACGTGTTGTGAGGTGTACAAGTGCATCCTCTTCCACATGATTGCCATGCGTGTCTGTTTCTGCACTGAATAAAAGGAAAAACGCAAATAGTAAGAAAATAAGTAAACTGAAGGGCAATGTGTCAACTTGCGATAAATAAGCTTAATTAAACGCAATGCTTGCAGTGAGAACAACAAGAAAAGAAAAAGAATTACGTGCGGCCCGCATGGAAAGCACGGCACTTTCACGGTGAGTGCTAGAATTGCAGCACTTATAAAACCAGTAAACTATCTTAGGGCTACTAATACAAGTAGGCTTGGAAGCCACCCGCTATACCGTAAATCACAACTTTTGTTAACATGGCAAGCGCTCGCTCCGCCGTTATTGGTCATTCTGCGGAGAAACGAGGTACCCGCTAGGCATTTGCAAGTTATTACGTGTACTTTGTTTATGCGGTACCTGATGGTGAATTGTATCCGAGATCTTTGCAATCAGTTGGATGGGAATGATGGATAGTACATAGATTTGCCTAGCCTTCGGGCTGGCGGGTTCCGAACGGACTTGTGGCTTCGTTTAATGAAGTGTTTTAGTTGCGATTAGAATAAAAAAAGCAATCGTTTTGAACTTCATGACCTCATTCAAATTGGTGAGCCTAAGAGGTCACGGTAGTGAAGTGCAATCGCTGAACATTTTCAAATTGTTACTTCGTGACAAAGCAGCTCCAAGCCGCTCGAAGCCAAATGGAGCCGAAAGTAGGAAGGCAATCCGCCTACTACCCATCATTCCCATGCTTGCTGGAGCCTCATGCATTGCAGCTCCCTTGACACTAGTTCCAGAGTTCCATCTTGCGTACTTGAAGAAAACTCTATACTCATGATAGCTTGCACTGCAAAAAGGCCTCGGTCACCAAACACAAACGTGTTGAGCGGCTCAACTTTTTGAAGGACCTGCGTGAACAATCCCTCGAATATTACGAGGGCATGAGATGCACCCGCATAGTTATCAATAAAGGCAAAAAATCCTGTATTTATCCACAATGAATTCGGCAGAAGTTGCATCCTCTAGTTTTCTAAGCGGTATACTCAACATATGATTCGCTGTCTACAGTAATATAGTTACTCGTGCTGGGTGGCAGGGTCGCGTTGCGGATAACGGTAACACATCATTCACCCAACCTTTCTCTTTAACTGGTAGTATGCAAGGTATATAACATCTTACATGACATAACGCGTGTAATACCAGACCTATCATTTTGACCTATAATAGACAGCGACGTTTGTTATGGCATCCTATAAAGCGATTCATTTTGTCACAAAGAATCGCTCATTTTCGTTCCATGACACTGACTATGACTGTGTAACTAGTAGTAGCTCCTACTATGCAACAGTTCTTTATTTCCTGACCTTCTAAACCAAATGTTTTGGTCATTTCAGTAAATGCTTGTTTTGTGGGATATAATATTTGGCGGGCTATTTTTTATTCACTTTTTAAGTAATTTGAACGTTATTAACCAAGACTGTTATTAGGCAATAACTTGAATATTTGACTCATTTCTTAAGAAACAGTGCTAGACAACCATTATTAAACATATCCCATAAGTCAACAGCAGCCAAACGTTAGCCATGAGAAGCGAAAATGACCAAGTACGAGCTAATCGAAGTCTGCTACGTGACGGTGCGCATACAATATCCACTACAGTTGTGCACGGGCTCAATGGTCGAGCCGTAGCCCAGCCCGGGACAGCCCGACGTACTAAATCAAAACCAGCCCGATGCTCGAAATCAAAAGCTTGGGACTGGACCAGTCCGGCCTGACAATACGGAGGTTGGCGGCGGAGAGAAGAAGTCGCTTTCCGATAACGAGGTATTTTATTCAGCATATCAAAGTGAAACCTAAGCAAACAAGAAACGACAGTCACAATAAGCATATACCATTGTAAGTTGTGTAAAAATGAAATATTCACTGATTCCGGCTTCAGTGAAGTGTAGCGCTTCTGCGTCACATATCTCGCCCAACTGAAAAAACCACTTGAACTGCGAATGTCATTTAGCGCAATCATTGTATATTTACAATAATCACACTGTTTGTACGTCCAGAAGTTTAGTACCTCAAGTATATATCCAAGGTAAAGGCGGTACGCAGTACAAAACAGATCTAGCGCAATCTACCTGTTCTTCCATCAATCCGTCCGTCCGTCCACCCATCTATTCATTCATCCATTTATGTGTGCAGATTCAGAAGAATTTCATTATTTAGCGGTAATTACTAGAGGACACTTTTCTAAAATCTTAAAATGGCAATGAGTTTTTTGCATTCATGACTTCAATTCTGTCAATTGATTTACCTGCCTCACCAAACTAATTAAAAATAATAATTTAGGTTCCTTAATAACTGTTCTAAATGATGTCTTCAACCCTTTTATGAGGCCTGCCACTACAGAAAAAGCAACTCTGAAGACGGCGAGCAAATAGCGCCGTGTTTAATTTTTAATGAATATTGCACATATTTATTATAACACACACACTCTCTCTCTCAATATATATATATATATATATATATATATATGATCGACATAGCAATGTTTAAAATAAAATGGGACCCTACTTTTTCGGCAATACATATAATTTGTCTAAATTATTCTCCTTTGCATCCCATACAAGCATGCTATAACTCAAAGTAATGTCCCTTAAACTACGTCAGCCATGCTGGCTTGCCCTAGCTGAGTATATAAACCTTAAGACGCCATTCATTCATGTGAGTCACCAATCTGTGCACTGAAGTCACACAGTACGGAAGCATCTAGTATTTCTCCTCTACAGAAATGCAAACGCCGCGCACATTCGGGTCAGCGGCCGAGTGCCGTACTAACTGAAGCACTGCAAGAACTCGCCATGAATAATTGTAAGCCAAACAAACTAAGGTGCACGCCTGGAAAAAAAGTCTCTCCTCTTCTATGAGCACACCTCCTGGAATGGGCCTGTTGTGCGTCTATTCAAGCACTGCTAATTTGTAATAATATAAATTGATGAGGCTTAGCATACCCAAAACACGATATGTTTATGTGAGATGCTGTGAGGAAGGGCTTCGGAAATTCCGACTGCCTGGGGTTCTTCAAAGGTCGCCTAAGTAAAAATACACGGGCCTCCAGCATTATCGCTTCTTTTTATTATGCGGCCGGTGTCGCCGGGATTTGAACCGGTGGCCTACCAATTAGCAGCCAAGCATATAACCACTAAATCATTGTGGCAGGTTAGTGCAATGACTGTTAGGCATGTTGAAAATGGAAAGATTTTGTGATAGATGGGCAAGCCATCAAACACGTGGACTTAAAAACCAGCAAGTTTATATAAGCAGTGACTAGCACACTATATAAAATGTAGAAATAGCTATAGCTGTACTTACGTCATTTGTACAAGCATATCTAATTCTCGCGCCAGCACGAGGAGGAAGTCCACATCTGCAATAAATAAAAAACCATTGCATTACGTTAGATCGCACTACATCACACTACATAACAATACATAACATTACGTTACATTGCACTGCATTACATTACAATTAACTACCCTGGTTCACACACCGACAAGCTGAAATTATTTAAGAAAAAGCGAGTTTATCCCACATCATGTTGACCTGTCAAAAGGCGGTTGAAAAGGGTGGTGCGATCACTTGTGATGAACAGTGAGACAACATGCTCTTCAGCAGAGATCCAGAGGAACAGCTCTGGCCAACCTGACGAGCCGAGGATGCCGCTAAGGCTCAAGGGTTCCTGGCAGACGTCTGGGCGTGAGATCTGAACCTATGAGGCTGCCGGATTCTTACAATAACATTTCATATTTCTCCTCCAAGGTGAAACAAAACCGAGAAAGTATAGCCGCGTGCGTTTTGAAGGAAGTAGGACTGTAATGCCATATCGCCTTGTTTATCCGCTTCAACGTATATGCATGTTATTGGGCTGACCTGTTCACCAACCTAAGTCCCGCATGAAACACCGAAGACGGAAGCACCAACAAAGGGATCACCGCATGTGCGAATGGGCGCTCTAACAGGCTCTGTTCGGGAATTCGGTGTTGTGTCGCTATGTGTCATGATACCTTTCATCATTGTTTGACATCTTTGAACGACATGCGAGAAATTTAGACGTTATTGTGGGCTGCACAGAACAAGTTATACGAACTAAAAAAGTAGGGTACCATTTAGGACAAACAGTTTATGCGCGAGTCATCCCAATATATTTCGTATGTGTACGTGCCCAAGAAACATCTCTCGAGCGTCAAAACGAATCCCAGACAACCGCGAACGAAGGAACATTTGTCAATTATTTATTCATTTTTCGCAGAATTGTTGGTATGCAATCGCCGCTCAATAAGCCCCAAAGTTTGATAAAAAGGGCTGGAGATATTTTACCCCGAATTTCGGACATGATGTTTTGTACACTTTCTTTTCTCTTCCTGCCTCCCCACAATAAGCAAGAAGAAACAATAAAAAACCTACCCGGTTTCAGTACTAATTGCACGCATTCAGTTTTGCTCTGGCTCGCAGATATCAAATCATATTGCGTTTGGTGAACCACGTCGATAAAGTAAACTTTTGCTTTAGTGAGGCATAAAAGTGTTGCTTATTTAGTATGACAATTGCCGGCATGTAAACTGAGCCGGCAATAACAGTGGAATGGGACGCAGGATTGAAACTATGTCTAGTTCGTAGTACCTCGCAATGCAACGGCAACGCAACCACATGCAGCGAAAAGAAAGGAAGTGGAACGCTAGGTTTCGTGTAATGTCTTGTCTCTGTCCGTTGGTGGCAGCGCTGTCTACGTTATGAAGAGTGATACGCCTGATAATCTGTATCCAGTACTACGAATCGCAACAGTGTTGCTTAAGATCACGCGAATTTCCAGTGGGCTCAATTGTATCTCCCCATCTTTGCCTCCCTTAATCCACTTGACGCCAGCGTAGGGTATCAGTCCATACGCGCATCTGATTAATTTTCCTGCCTTTCTTTCCATCTGGGATGTTGCTGCTCTACATCCAGCACACTGCTGGTGTTTGCTTAGCTTTTGCATTGTAAACTTCGCCTCCTATAAGTGTATACGGACTTGTGGTGATTGTTAGACTCGCTGGCTTTGTCAGTGTATGCAACCTGGTAGTCTTGAACTGTGTTCATTGAACAAAAGGCACCGTATAGGCATTACCAGCCGTTAATAATTTACTTTGAATAAAATTTGGGCACCGATCAGAGACAGATGTTGTCTTATTGTTGTAATGCACTTTTGTTGAGGGCAGTAAAGCAATAACTCTCTGCTGGTGAATTCTCACGCATTGCGTAGCATTTTTGATATTACTTAATAGAATTATACTATTCGAACTGGTATGGATGGCACCGAAAAGAAAGCGCCATCGTAACTGCAGACGATCCCTCCGGTGAAAGGAGTGGTTACGCTATGTTGAGCCTGCCAACGAAAATTTTATAGCGGAATTACGCAACCCATTGTTCTGCATCGCTTCACTATAGATCCTATGCAAAATTGCTGCCGTCTGTCGGCCGTTGTGTGAATAGCCGCCATGTTAGAGGCTAAGCGGGGCGCAGTATGCACAGTCCGCGCAGGGCCGCGTGTGTTTACGTAGACGTAAACGCAAGGCGTAATGACGTGAGGCGTTTGTCAGCTGATAATCGCAATGCCGACGTATTGCTGCGTCTCTTACAGAGCAAAGAGGAACTAGGAATGCTGAAGAAGAAATGTAAGTCGTAAACTTAGTGTTCCTTGTTATTTTCTCAAGCTGATGACGTTTCCAGCATGTGCTCCGGCTACTGTTCCTGAAACATGCGTTTGCGTTCTTCTTTCTAAGCGTGGTATGTTGTCATGTTCCCACATGACATGCGTGTCAGGATTATCATGCTTGCAGCAGTCATATAATTCGTCATCCATTACGTCAGGTAACACCAAATTTTGTACATCTAGAGCTAGCAAAATGGCCGCGAGCGCTTCATGAAGGGCCCATTTTACTACAACGTTGCGTTGACGCACGCGCACGCTGGGCACAGTCACGCTACGTTAGCAAAACGCGGGCACTCTATGGTCTGGTGCGACCGGCGTGACCAGCGTCTGTCGGCACGGCCCGACAGCCGCTGGTCAATTGGCGTGGAATTCCCGACGATGCATTACCCAGACAACACCATGTCTCCCTCTTTTCTTGACGGAGAGATGCCTGACGCGCTGAAACGCGCATGCATTGAAGCAACGCAGCACGACGCATGCCTGCGAGTATATGGCAAAACCGGCGCCTGGCGTGGAAACTCCGGCGTGACGCGACGAAATGAACGCCGGCGAGCACGCGCTGCGTCACGTCGAAATGTATTGGCACCTTGACTGTGGCATGTAGTCATGTTCTCACATGACACGCATCTCATGGTTATCATGTTTGCACCAGTATCATACCTTCGTCATTCATTCACGTCCCGTTATACCAAATTTAGTTTAAGTGAAGCTCGCGATACGGCTGTCAGGATATCATGAACGTGGCATGCAGTCATGTTTTTACATGACACGCATCTAATGATTATAATGTTTGCACCAGTCACATATCTTCGTCACCCATTATTGCACCGTAACACCAAATTTGGTATATCTGAAGCTGGTGAAACGACTGTGAGTGCACTAAGAGTGTGTCGTGTAGTCATTACTACACGACATGCATGTCATTATTTCCACGTTAATATCTGTCACGTATGTTCGCGATGATGTCATGTCATACCATACCAGTTTTGCAACATGTCATGTGAACAAAACCACTGCAAGAGCCGCAGGACCATGAAATGTAAATCATGACATTTATGACATACATGTCATGATTTTCATGTCACGACTAGCTAAATATGTTCTTCATACAGTCATGTTATGCCATACCAAGTTTGGTATTGATACTATTATCGAAACAGACAGGAGAGCTAGAATCCGTAGGCGGCTAGATAAATAGATAGGTACGCTCAAAGTCGCCGAAGTTGGCTAAGAAATGCTTCGCATTCAAAACGCGCCGTTGGGTCTGGCTCTTGAGCGCAGAAACGCGTGGTCTTTTTTTCTAGGTCAAAATCCGCTCACGTCCTTGACCTATTACAACTAGTTGATAATATGGTATTTCAGTTGCATTGAGAAATCTAGGTCTGTTTTTGTACCAGCGCGCTGTTGATTGATTGATATGTGGGGTTTAACGTCCCAAAACCACCATTTGATTATGAGAGACGCCGTAGTGGAGAGCTCCGGAAATTTAGACCACCTGGGGTTCTTTAACGTGCACCCAAATCTGGGCACACGGCCCTACAACATTTCCGCCTCCATCGGAAATGCAGCCGCCGCAGCCGGGATACCAGCGCGCTGTTATTGTCATAACATTTACTTTCACAAGTGAGGTATGCCCAACCACGCACTCGCATTTGTTCCAGCTGTTTCTTCGTAAAAGTGCAAACGCAGTCTAACTGAGCAGTATAAAGTTGAATGAGTTATAGCCACAAACTGCTGATGCAGTTGCACTATTCACATGGACTTGCTCATATACGACAAAGTCTCCGCGTTCACCATAAACATTGAGTGAGTTTGGCGTTTAATGGGATCACAGCAGAGGATTCAGCTGTGAGCAGATGAAACCTTTTAAACACATAGGTTCACTATGTACCCTCGCTATCGCTTGGCAACTTAAAAAAAAATTTTTTGCCTTGGCATGCAGAGCACGAAACGACCCTTCATCTGGCTGCCTAGCCCCCACTTCAGATCAAGGAAGTGGCCTGCATACCTTCGAAAAAAAAAATTCTTTCTAAAGAACTGCACAGATTGATTTAAGATTGGGGCATTTTGTTTTTAAATCTATACTAATAAATACACTCTCGCTTACAAAATAAATGAATCAATTTGCCAAGCTGCACTTACAGAGCCGTGCTAATGAGCGCTGCCACCACAAACGAGTGCAGAATTACGGGCTTCATCTTCACGGCGTCTCTAAGACTCAACTTCTAGTCTTTGCTTAAATTTATAACAATGGTTGACAGACAGGACATTTGTTATACAGCCTAAGTACAGCTAGTCTTTCTCTGTCATTCATTATGCCCTTGTGTCTATTGTTCAGTCGGGGTGGCAGGCATACGGATTGCGTGTTCTCGGATTCTTGAATTAATTTCGAAGTATTTCGATCGAACCAAATGGCAAACTACTCGTGTCGAATATTCGCAGTCTCGAATTTACGCACATCGCCATGAAATAAATAAATGAGGAATCTTGGCCAAAGTTTTAACTGGCTGCCACAAGAGCAATACGACAAACAGGCTCAAAATATGCAAGAGTGGTACCACAACAACAAAATAAAATAGAAGTTCGACAACTCGGTCCTACTTCCGCAACAATTTAGCATTACGCTTATGCTTTTACTCTATCGTTTGCTCACAAACACACACAAAAAAAACTAAGATTGTACAAAGATAATTTAAGCGCGAGTGCGTCTTACAGAGGTCATTCGTTCTTAAACGAGGCTTTTCACTAGCTTAACCAGCGATATGAGTAGGAGACTGCGAAGCGTTTGGGCATTTAAGTCATAATATCGCAATGAGTGATATATTGATAATTGGCGCTGCAAACCCTCTCACGTCAGAACCATTATGACGCATGTGCAAGGATACACATTGTTGTACGCTGTGGTGACGTGTAGTCTCCAGCTTCAAAAATCTGATATGTCTTTGTCGGCAGTGGTGCAGCCAGCTAACGAACTGGGGTTTTTTAGCCGTTGCACGCCATAAATGAACATCAATTTGTATGCTATGCTTAACATGTAAGTCCTGATACTCCAGATTACGCTCATAAATAACGAAAATTAACGTCCCAGCTTTAAAAAGTTGAATAGCATGCTTGTTTAGTCTTAGCATAAAGGCACAAAGTGGTTACCATTTCCGAAGGCAATTTTGCACACTATAAAACAATAGCGGACTTAACAACAGCCAGGTAAAACTTGAGACTGTGAAATAGGCCGATCTTAAAGAGACACTAAAGAGCTAGCAAACGATTTTTCGTTAATTCGTAAAGTACCTTTTCACAATTCTGAAAACACCAATCTAACCGCGACACGATGCTTTGTGAATGACAAAATGCGCTAAAAGAAAATGCAAGTAAAGGGGCCACCAAGAGATTCCCGCACAAAACACCCTGACGTCATAAGTTTTATAGACGTCTACAGTGTCCCAAGTAGCTTCTAATTAATAAAATGGAAGTACATTGTCATGTAGGGGCCATAGACCTAGCATACAAAGTTTCAGAAAATTTCACCAAGCCAATTTTGCGAAAATACGCAAAATACATTTTGAAATTTGTTATGTAACGAGGGGAGATTTTGTTGTGTAATTTAAAATGAAGCTTCTACCTCGATTTCCTCCGCTAATATCAAAGTTTCGACAGTGAAGCTTATGACATTAGAAGTATTTGAGTGCAGTTTATCAATGTAAGATAAGTCATTGTTTATAATAAGCTCACACCAAACATATAATCTGGGTCCGCTCGGCGAGGCACTGTTCAGGCGAGTTTTCCAGTCTGACTGCAGCGCCAATACACATAGCCTAGCGAATAAAAAAAAGCAACCTTAAAACAGCTTCGGTGAAAACGCAACGCGACGCATGCGTCTTGCATCCTGCATCTGTCGGCGGATTGTGGCAGGGATCACTTCTTCTGGCAAGGTTAACGACCGAAGTACGGCGTTTACGACGCTTTGCTCATCCCAGTGCCGCCATAAAAAAATCACAACATATTCACGGAGTGAATGATGATTAGTGGGTGCCGCGTTCGTCAGTCTGTCTGTCCATTCGTTCTTGCGTCCGCCTATCTGTGTGATCCTTGGTGCATCCGTTCGTTTGTTCATTCGTCTGTCTGTCCATCCATCTCTTTTTGCAACCATTCCTCTGTCTGTCCATCCGTCCGTGCGCCCCTCTGTCTGTCCGTCCGTGCGTGTGTCAGTCTGTTCGCCCGTCCATATGTCTAGAGAAAACTCCAAGCACAGCCATCTCACATCTTTTCATCATGTATTCATCATATACAAGTGCCCCCATCCAGCAGACATTGTGAGAGCCGCTATTTCGGGTATATGCCACTGGTGGTTACGTCCTACGAGGGACGCACAAGCCATGCCATAAGGAGCTTTGCTCCTAAAAGAACTGTTCCAGCCTGTGGTCAGTGCGGCTCCATTGGACATCGACCCGACGCCTGTCCCAGCCCCAAACCAGACCTTTGTGGTATCTGCGGAGAAGCAGTGCCACTCACGGATGGCACCCGTGCTTCTTGGGTGTACGCCCCGGTGCGCTATCTGTGCTGGGTCCCACATCACCGGGGACCAGTGCTGTAAAGAGCGCTATACAGGGCACCACCATTCATGGCGCCCCGTACTTCATGGGAAGGTCAAGCCGACCTCAAGAAGAGAAGACGTCGGCGCCGACGGAAATCAGGCTCTCGATTGTCGCTGCTGGTGGCAAGGAGGACCACAAGGAGGATTGGCATGGAGGAAAGTTCACGGAACATATTGCCACCCTGGGCCTCACTATCCTTACGGACCCTGCACACCCGACCCGTGTTGGTAATTCTATAACTCGAGACCATGTCCCTGATCTCACAATTACCAAGCACATCACGTATGCAGAATGGTTAAACATGGAAACCCTCGGCAGTGACTAATGCATTTTCTAACTACAGTACGGACATATCCCCTTACCCGTCCCCACCACCAAGGGAAACTTCTGAACTGGGACAAGTTCCGTTCGGAGTACACGACTTTGGCACCCATAGCTACACAAGGCTATGCCTCTTGGTCTCAACACCTTGTGACATCCCTTCGCCAAACAGAACAGACGATTCAGCTCTCGGAAGCCACTGCCGCGGTGGATAACCATCTCCTATGGTTCTGGGAGGCTCGGCATAGCCTAGTCCACCGATGGCGCCGACAAAAGCATATTCGTCAGCTCGAAATCCGCATAGCATCGCTCACTCGGGAAGCAGCCGAGTACGCGGCCAAGCTTTCTGACTCGATTTGGGTTGAACGCTGCAACAATGCTCCAAGCATATGTCAAACCGCAACACGTGGTGTTTCTTCAGGGCTCTCATAGACCCTAGCCAAACATGCACAGAAATGCAAAAGCATCTTCAACGTACACTTCACGCTTACGCGGGTGACGCGGATGGATTGGCATAGGCGCTTAGAGATAAATATCTTTGTGGCTGGCAGGGCCCCATCCGACCAGCGTTCTCATATGCAGGCTTGGAGAACGCAGACTTGGATTGTTGCTTTCAACTACATGATCTGAAAGCGGCCCTGTCCAAAATGAAGCGAGGAGCGACGCCGGGTAAGGATAGAGTGACGGTTAGGCATCTAGCCAACCTCCTAGACCCATTATATCATCAGCTCCACGACTACTTCAATCAAATTATGGAGGGGCATGAACCATGGCGATTTGATTGGAAAACGGCTTTGGTAACGTGTATTCCCATATCAGGCAAGTCTATAAACATCGAAATTCTACGACCTATTTCCTTAACCTCGTGTGTAGGGAAGCTTATAGAAAAGATGGTTAGGGATCGGCTCTCCGATTATCTATCTATCTATCTATCTATCTATCTATCTATCTATCTCTATCTATCTATCTATCTATCTATCTATCATCTATCTATCTATCTATCTATCTATCATCTATCTATCTATCTATCTATCTATCTATCTGTCTATCTATCTATCTATCTTTCTATCTATCTATCTATCTATCTATCTATCTATATCTATCTATCTATTTATCTATCTATCTATCTGTCTGTCTGTCTGTCTGTCTGTCTGTCTATCTATCTATCTATCTATCTATCTATCTATCTTCTATCTATCTATCTATCTATCTATCTATCTATCTATCTATCCATCTATCTATCTATCTATCTATATATCTACGACTTTTAGTTTTCCTGGCCGTTTCGATAATGGTATCGATATGAAACTTGGTATGGCATAACATGACTGTATGGACAACATATTTGTCTACTAATAACATAAAAATCATGACATGTATGTCATGAATGTCATGATTTACTATTGACAGGCGTGCACACCTGGTTTGGCCGCACTGCACGATTCCCATAGAGTGCATAATCTTCGTTTTTGCCCTAGTTTTCGTGTGGTGATAATGGGGGCCATCGTGGGCGTACCAACCGCTTTTGATGATGACAGTCGCAATTCCTTGCTTTTACTTCAGCGTCGCAGTGCAATCAACGTGTTGGCAAGATAAAACAAAAAGAGAAATATAATCGGTTTGCGGTTGATTTTCAAACGATCGTCGTATCTCGTTCGCCAGCGCTGCTTTACTAGCACCCTTCTTACAGAGACCGACCGGAAAAGGCTTCCCTTTACATGGAAATGCCGAGCGTTTCTTTGGAAGAAAGAGCGCAATTGTTTCGCTTTACCTGCACAAAGCGAAACTGCGTGAAATTTCCAGCATTGTGAACGGAGTTTTGTCGACTATAAATAGAATTTGCCAGGCCTTCCGTGATTATGGACTCCGTGATGACAAACCGTGCTACAATACTCGCCTTCGGCTGCAGTAGTTAACCCTCTGTTTTTTATTTTGTTCCTTTCAAATAGCATTACCATACCTGGAACACAAGCGGAAATATTGCACTATAGACATCTATAGGGGGATCCCGCAGTGCTGCCACACCGGATGTGCAGGCCTGTCTGTGTCAATGACTAATGGACGGTGCGCACTAAGCCATTGATAAGGCTTGCGCCACGCGCTTCACTGTTTGATGCCAGTAGTACACTGCAAGCCGTTATGTGCAGCGAAAATAACTGTTTAGAAAAAAAAGTTTAACGATTTCGAGTACTTCGTACTCAACTATGGGAGAGCAGTGAGCCGTACCGCTAAAATGTCCACCCTTAACAGTACCCTAAACGGCACTAAACTCTGCATGTTTAAAAAAAATCGGTGAA